GGTCATGGCTAGTTGATGACGGCTAAGTAGCCATAAATGGTCAGTCCAGTCACCCTCGACTTGGTCGGTTATGTACTTGTGCCAATACGATATTATCTCCCTATTCACGTTGATACTGTTGGATTTACGCGGGCAATACACAGAAGAATGAATTAAGTCCTATGACATAAACCTTCCTGTATCTGCCTTGCTTGAACTCCTGGACATATTTCTGGAAACTAAATTTTCATTCTCATTACACTCCTATCAACAAGTAAAGAAGGCCCCAACGGGGTCTGCCATTTCGGACTTCTTGGCTGAAGTCACGAGGTAACGCCGTGTTGTTTGTATGCTATGTCGATGAGTAGTTAGTCATCGTGAGAGGAGACTAGCGGGAATCACTGCACAGCGTTATTCACTAAACGATGCTAGAAATCAGCTTTACGTTCAAAAAATAAGTTGACAGTAAACTCCTACTTCCTGTCGCCCTCGTACAACCAAGGACTGACGGGACATTTTAAGCATCAGTTTACCGCAAAACAGCATATGCGGATGTTATCCTGCATTTACAGAGCAACTATTCCGTCGTTCCCGAATGGGGAACTGTTAAAAGCGTATTGTTCCAGCACCGAAATTTACTCAATTTAGCCTAATTAGTTGCTCCAACTGTTTTCCAAATATGGTTACCCCAGGGAGTTTGTGCGTCGATGCAAGAGAGGAAGTAGATTGTTCCGATTAGGCGCTCAAACCAAAAGACTGGCGAGCACTTCTATACATTGAAGACGTGTTTGCATTGGTTAGAAAAACCTAAGGAATAACCAAATCCAAGTGACGCACAAATCAGCGACTACATTACAAAATCGGCGTATGCACCATAAGGATATTGCTGACTATTTGGATAGAAACTGAGTCGTTTACAAGATTCATTGTGGCCGACGTATAGCCGTTTATTGTAGAAAAACAAGCAAATCGACCTTTACGGGTTTAAACGAACACCACTTGGCAGTAAAGAGGCGAGAGTACCTGTCTCAAGTTGCCTGGAATACACTGGAAACTGAGCACACATTTGCATGGGAACAAACTTGCACTGTTGTGTCCTGCCAATCAAAGAAATACCGCGAATTATTAGACGCATTAATCGGAAAATCCAATGGGATGCCCTGAACGGCAATCTCAAAGAAGCGTGTAAAAGACGACCGTCAATCCAGACTAGGTGCCAAGAAAATAGACGCAGTTATTGGCCAAAATGACTGACCATTTTTGATTTTTCAGGCATGTTTACAATTCGAAGTGCATTGTAAGCTCACTACACGTCTGACGACGACCTAGGGAACCAATATCAAAAATTTAAACAGTAAAGTATGTTATCATTTACCAAAGAACGTCTTCTATTTAAATATATATGTATTAAGAAGTGGAACCGACAAGCACACGGAGGTCTGGAATGACCATATCTGGCTTATTAGCCATCATCAGTCATTCATACCCACTCTCTGATGTAGATCATCCGACATTTGAATTCATGACGTTAGACATGAAGTGTAACACTCCACAACTGCACCGTGGGTTCGTTGTTTTGTCGATTGCGATCGGGAATATGATGATAAGAGGGAGCTCACCGATCTAGAATTTGAACGTGTACGTTCCCTTTTAACACCAAGGCTCACTTTAGAGTCCACTCAGGCAGCCGCATAGCGACTAAGAGAATATATTGAAGTGGAACCGACAAAGACAACGGAGACGTTAATGGCTATTCCTGGATTATTAGCTGTAATCAGCCAGTCATACCCAATCCCAGGTGAGGCTCACCCGAGATTCTAACTCGGGA